AAATAAAATAAAATAAAATAAAATAAAATAAAAAATGAAATAAAATAAAATGCAGAGCCTGGCAATTCCTATCCCAAAGTCAAAGGAAGGACCTGTGGAAGGTACTGTGCTGGTGTCTCTCAGCGAAGCCACTCTACCACAGCAGTGGGGTGTGGAGCCAGTGTCACAGTTCGAGAACAATAGCTATTAGCACTGTGCTTTACAGTTTGTGTGAGAGGAGATTCTGCTGTCCCCATTTGCAGATGGACAAAGTGAGGCGCAGAGAGGGTCAGGGTCCAAGGTCACTGAGTTAGGAAGCAGCAGGGCCAGGACTGGAACTTCTCCTCCAGAGCGGGGCTCTGGCTGTGATCACCCTGCCCCCACCGTGTACATCTCCTTTCTTTCCCCTCCTTTTCATAACGGCCCTTGGCCCCTGGCCTGCTTGGCTGCCTCCTGCAATTAGCCCTATCACTGTTCCGGATCGCAGCCCTGGGCCCTGCAGAGACAAAGTCCCCTGGGCCCACATGGCAGGGGGTGGAGGGCAAGTGGGGGGGCCCTGGTAGGGGTAGCTGGTGCCACACCGAGCTGGTCTGGCCTGTTTTCTCTCCTCCAGCAGCCTCTGGGGGCCCAGGAAGTGCTGAGTGGGAGCAGTGGCAAGCCCGGAAGAGAAGGGCTGCCCCCTCCCAGCTCCTGCCCTCGCCCCGTCCCACAGGCTCAGCCTCACTGGGTTCTTGGGCAACTTATCACTGACCCGCATCTCAGAAAAGAACCCGCCCACCCAGGGGTGCCTGGGTGGCTCAGTCGGTTAAGTGGCTGACTTCAGCTCTGGTCATGATCTCGCAGTCCGTGAGTTCGAGCCCCGCGTCGTGCTCTGTGCCTGGAGCCTGTTTCAGATTCTGTGTCTCCCTCTCTCTGACCCTCCCCTGTTCATGCTCTGTCTCTCCCTGTCTCAAAAATAAATAAAATGTTAAAAAAATTAAAAAAAAAAAAAAAAAAAAAAAAAAAAAAAAAAGAAAACCCCCAGGGACAGTGGGATGTAGGCAGGCTTCCAAGTACAGCACCTATCTCTGGGAACCTGGGTCCTGGCTCCTCTGCCCAGGGCCATTGCCTGTTCTTGGTCATTCAGTCATTCAGCAAACCTCCCTGGGCACCCTCAGGCTGAGCCCCATTCTAGTGTGGCCCCTGCCAGTGCCTTCCCTCAGCATCTGCAAGGAAGGGAAAAGCTCAAGGCTGCCTTGAGTGGCTGAAGGTGACCCCTGGAGGTGCCTCACCTCTCCTGGGATCTTAGGACTGAGACTTAAAGGACAAATAGGAGTTTGCTGGAGCAGGGGGGAGTGGGTGCTTTCCAGGCAGAGGGAATTCGAATGCAAGGACAGGGCTGGCAGGGCTCACAGGGCGATGGGGAGCCTTGGTGGCTGTGGACTCACAGCAGGCAGTGGCAACCTTAGGTCTGTGCTTTAGAAGGAGGTCCTGCTGCCCCTGGAAAGTAGACAGAAGGGCCAGGCCAGGACTCTTCAGAGGAACTTGGGTTTATCCTGGGAGCAGTGGGGCTGGGGTCGTCAAGGCCTGGGGAAGGGTGGGCGTGGTTATTGGTGACTCCCCGCCCCATCCCAGGGGAGTGGCCAGGGGCTGACCTTGAACCCCACATGGCCTAAGTATCCCCTCCTGTTTAGTCAGCCATCAGCTCCACATCTTTTAAGCAGGGGATTCAAGCAAACTACAGCTCGTGGGAAATAAACCAGGGACCCACATGGGGGCAATTTTAATTAAGGAAGAAGAAAATCGTTTTCTTTCACTGCCCCCTGGTATAAAGAAAGAGGGGCAGGTCAAGCAATTGTGGGCAGTCACAGGCCCACCTCCCCCAGCCTGGTCCAGGGCCTGGGCATAGAGGGAGGCGTGTGTGCACAGGGCCATTTGCCTGACAGGATGATCATTCTGTGGCTGTGTGTCCTATTGGATTTGCCTACGTCTGACTGTGTGCTTGAATGTGTGTGTGTGTGTGTGCTTATGTGGGTCTGTGTGTGTGCACATGGGTACACGTGTGTCCAGGAGTTGTAGGCACTCATAAATACGTGCGTGTGTGTCCGTGTGTGTGTGTGTCTGTGTGTGTGCTCACTGCATTGATGGATGTGCATGCCTTGGCGTGTGTGTATACAACCATACACTGGGACGGAGTCTTCATTCCTGGCGCAGGGGCCCCTCCAGTATTTGGAGCTTCTGACTGTCTTCTGCCCGGGTTGCTCCCTCCCTCCCTCCCTCCTTCCTTCAATCCCAGAGCCCTAGGGCCAGCCTGAGGAACATCACACAGGCTGCAGGGAACCCCCAGCACCCCTCAGGAAGTGCCTTCCAAAACTTGCACCCCAAGTTTTATGCATTTTTCTGGATAGGAACCACAACTGACATCACTTTCTCAAAGGGGCTTATGCCCCCCCCCCCCAACACCAAACAAAACTCAAACAGCTCTAGGGACCCAGAGGATCTAAAGAGTGGGGCCTTTTTGAAGAAATGTATTTTTTTTTTTTTAACTTCTAAAATCACCCACCTGCTCATTGGGAGAAAATTTCCAGCCTGAGGTTAAGAGTGCCAACTCTAGGGTCAGATGGACCTGAATCCCAACCTTTACTGTGTTGTTCATCTTGGGTGCCTGGGGCTCATCCCAGACCTGAGAGCCTCAGTCTTCCCATCTGTAAAGTGGCACTCATAGTTGGTATATGAAAGGCTTTGGACCCAAGCTCCTGGTGTGCAGCACGCATGATCATTGAAGGCTGCTGTTACTGCAGGAGACAGAGCAGATGGAAAGCTCCTCCCTGCCCCCATGGGTGGCAATTTGATGTGAGCATGTGATTTTTCCTAACTTTGCACACATAGCTATATATGTGCATATACATATAAATAGTCTTTGAGCTTTCTCTTTTTTAAATTTCTTTAAGTTTATCTATTTTGAAAGGGAGCATGAGCTTGAGCCCGGGAGAGGCAGAGAGAAAGGCAGAGAGAGAATCCCAAGCAGGCTCCCCCACTGTCAGCACAGAGCCCAATGTGGGGCTCGAACCCATAAACAGTGAGATCATGACCTGAGCGGAAATCAAGAGTTGGGCAGTTAACCAACTGAGCCACCCAGGCACCCCTGAGCTTTTTTTTTTTTCATGTAATGTTTATTTATTTTTGAGAGAGAGAGACAGAGGGTGAGCAGGGGAGGAGCAGAGAGAGAGGGAGACACAGAACCCGCAGGCTGAGATGTCAGCACGGAGCCTGACACACTGTGAGATCATGACCTGAGCCAAAGTCAGACACTTAACCACTTAACTGACAGAGCCACCCAGGGCCCCCCACCCCCACCCTGAGCTTTCTTATTTTAATAGAAATCCAATCCTTCTCTGTCCGTTGGTCTGCACTTGCATTTCTCAATTAGCCAGACATGGTGGTCTACACGTGGAGAACTTGGGCTCTATCTCGCATCTGGTTTTCCACGTCCAGTGGTCCTGTAGCTGTTTAGGCTGTTCCCAGTGTCGCGTGGTTCCCAGCAGTGCTGCCACAAGCCCCTGTCACCTCTTCCATGTGGTGTCTGGCCAAGAGCTATGGTGAGCCTCTGCCAGGTCACTGGTCTAAACAGAGCCATCCCTTCTCCCCACTTTGCCTTTGGCTAAGGCTGTTTCTTCCTTCTGGACTTATCCCAGGGTGACAAAACGGTGAAGGGACTTCCCCAGCGTCCCACAGTGAGTTAGTCGGCAGTTCCCGGCCAAGGACATTCTCTGATGGGTGACCAGGGTCGGGGGTGGGACGGCAGCTGGGAGACTGGATGTCGGTGGTGGCAGACATCTCTGTGATGGCTGAGACATTCCAGCGGCTCAGCAGCCCTCAGCCCTGCACAGGGTCACAGGCCCTGCATTTTTTGCCGGGATTGGGAAAGGAGGGACTGTTTCAGGTGACCCTTTTCAGCCAGAGCCTGTCACCCCACCAGACTTTCCTTTGTGGTCTTGAGGCTGGGGTCAGCAGGTTCCCAGGCTGGGGCCTTCACAGAACCATGGACCGTGGCTCAGGAGATGGGGAGGAGACAGGAGCTGAGATCTCTGGGATGAAGTCAGGGGCCAGGCTGGGCCATCCACATTCCTGGGTGCAAATCCGACTCTACCGTGCACCAGCTCTGGTACGTGAGCAGTTGTCCTCCCCTCCCCAAGCCTCAGTTTACACCTTTGTAAAATGTAGGGAGGTGCCTTCCTGACTTACTAGGAAGATAATGTAAATATCCTTAGCATACAGTGGGTGCTCAATAAATGCAATGCAGTTATGTTTTTTGTTTTGTTTTTTGTTTTTTTAGAAAGAGAACACATGAGCAGGGGAGAGAGGGACAGAGGTAGAAACAGAGAGAATCCTCCCTGCTGAGTGTGGAGCCCAATGTAGGGCTCGATCCCACAACCCTGGGATCATGACCTGAGCTGAAATCAAGAGTCAGCTGCTGAAATGACTGAGCTACCCAGGTGCCCCGCAAAGCAATATGATTATTAATGGGCATTTGGAGAATCCAGTCCCCCATGCTTGGGACATCTGGCTATCACACAGAGGGGACACAAGGATAAGTGAGATAGGGCCTCTCTTCTGTCATGCCAGGGGAGGGACAGGGCAGACATGAATCCTCAGCCTAACTCAGCGAGACAGGTATACAAAGTGCTGCAGGGGATCCCTGGCAGGGAACCATCAATTCTGTTCAGGTAGGGGTGGAGGTGGAAAAGGAGTCGGGGAGAGGTGACAGCACAGTAGGGCTTTGAAGGTCGGAGGTGCCAAGTGGAGAAGTGGGGGCAGGGTGGGCCCAGCGTGTGGCAGTGGGCCCAGGCAGTGGGCCCAGCGTGAGTGTGTGTGAAGGCCTGGAGGTGAGGGTTCACAGCAGATGTGAGCACAGGAGATCTGGAGGGCTCCGAGTGAGGATGAGCACGGGAAGAACATGGCCAGGTTTCCATTTTATGACATTCTCCCTAGGGAGCAACTGAGGGGCAAGACGGGGGCTGCTGCTGTTGTCCGGGTGGGAGGCAGGAGGCCCTGGTGACCCGGATGGAGAGAAGTAATATCGAGAAAGGAGAGCGCAGGCAAGGATGCCTTGCTCCCGTCTTGTCCCCCGCAGCTCAGTCCCCACGACCTTCCGAGAGCCCCCAGCACAGCTGCCCCTCCAGAGCTATAGGAGTCACTCCTCAGCCACAGTAGCCCAGAGACTCCTGACTGGGGCCCAAAGGACTCAGAGCTCGGGGGTCTCTCTCCCTAGAGACTCAGGGCTCCTGGAGAGAACCTGGACCTCCTCACTCATCCTCCCCGGGGTCCTGGGCAGAGGCTGCGCATGGCACCTGAGCTTCCTCACTGTGGGTCTGTTTCAGGAACTGGTGCTCCTATGTGGTGACCCGTACCATCTCATGCCACGTGCAAAATGGCACCTACCTTCAGCGAGTGCTGCAGAATTGCCCCTGGCCCATGAGCTGCCCAGGGAACAGGTAAGTGAGACCATGGTGGAACAGGGGCTGGTGGCATGCTAGGTGGAGGCCAGCAGGAGCAAAGGCCTGGTTGTGACACTGCATCCAGAGTGCAGGGAAATGCAGGGGCCCCGAGGGTGGGCAGAGCAAAGGGAATATTGGCCCCGTCCCCATCCTCAGCACCTCCCCTTAGGCTCCTGGGGCACTTGGAGGGCCTCCTGGTGGAAGGATTCCACCATTTACCCACATGCATTCACTTGGTGAGGCTTCACTGCTCGGCAGGACAGGCCAACCCAGCTTGCAGGGACTTCCTGTCCACTTAGTATCTAGATCCCCCCACCCGGGGAGTTACAAGGGATTGGAAGGGCTGAATCCCTGTATAGAGGAGGAGAGAGGCTCCAGAGGGGCTCAGAGGTAGCAGAGGACCCTGGAGTTTGTCCCCACGGACATCCAGGTTGGTGGGAAAGGTGGCAGAAAACTCTGTCTGAGTCCGGCCCCCTGGACACTCTTTCAGCTACAGAACCGTGGTGAGACCCACATACAAGGTGATGTACAAGACAGTGACCACGCGTGAGTGGAGGTGCTGCCCCGGGCACTCAGGGGTGAACTGCGAGGAAGGTAGGACTACCCTGAGATACAGGCCAGGTGCCTTCCCTCGGGCGCGTGGGTGGGAGTAGTCAACCCTTGCTAAGTCGGTAGATGCTACAGTGGCCAGCACTGGGCACACCCGGGCCCACTAGTGAGGCGTGGCTGGTATGCACACAGTCAGGGCCTGCTGTCCCATGGGTGTTGACCGCCTAACTCTCAGGACCCCTGAAGGAATTTCATACATGCTGCATAGCTCATGTCTTGAGGCACACCATCCCAAGCCTTTCCTCCAAACTTGGGGAGAACCCGTGTGGACATTTCCATTGGATATGGTAACAGCACATGGAAGCAAAGCACCCCTTAAGTCTGTGAACTGGCCCGGTTGGGATGGTTGTATCCATCTTGTGGGTGAAGAAACTGAGGCTCAGGAAAGTGATGGGTATACAGCTCCTGAGTGGCAGTCAGGATTTGAAGGCTGGTCTGCCTGGCCTCTCCCAGGGCCTTAGAGATGGGCCACCACATGTGGAGTGTGTCGCAGGCAGAGGGAGCCCTTTCACCCCACCCCCCTTCTCTGCATGCAACACGGGTGGCTCAGGGCCCAGCACCCAGCAGTGGTACAGAGGACACAGCCCAGGCCTCCCTGCACCCTGGACACATGGTTACCTGGAGAGCCCTCTCTCAAGGGCACCTGCCTCTCTGCTAAGCAGTCTGGATGGCTCCCACCCTCACTACCTATCTGAACTCAGCAAGAGAAGCTGTCAGAACCAGCCCAAGAAGCACGCCTGTAGGCACATCAGTGGAAAGAGGCATTCAGGGCCCCCAGAGCAGCACGTTAATGTGAGCATCAGTCACAAGACATACTCTGATTCCAGAAACACGAACGTGTGAGACATGGCCTCTGAATCAAGAGAGCGTGATGCTAACAGAAGTCACCATTCATAGGTGCTTCTTGAAAGATTTACATGCTTCGCCTCCCTGGGACCCCACAAGAGTCCTGCTTCATAGGATGGGCAACAGAGGCCCAGAGAGGTGGAGTCACATGCCCAGAGTCACACAGGGTGGGGGGGTAGAGCTCACGACAGAGTGGGGCAGAGTGGGGCAGGGCCTGGCAGATTTCCCTGTGGGGTTGGGGAGTCTCCAGTTCCGGTAGGGGTGGCCAGAGGGAGTGGGGGAGCTGCCTGATGCCCAGCAGGGGTCCTGTACAGAGAGGCAGCTGCCGTGCCGGTGTGGGAGGGCAGACATCAAGGGGAACCAGGAATGGGACCCTCCCCTCCCTGGTGGGAGGAAGAGGGGCCCAGGGGGCAGGAGGAGAGCCAACAAGGAGGGCTGCTGCCAAAGAGGACACAGAGTAGCTGGTCGGGGGGAAGTAAGTCCCCAGAGTGTGGGGGCCACCTGGGCCTAGCGGGCCTGAGCCAGGCAGGGCCTGCCCAGACAAAGGCCACTCTGTCAGTGGCTTCCCTCCCAAGGGCAGACCTTCCCAGGTCTGTGGGGCCATCATGGAGCCAGTGAGGGCGGAGGACAGGTGGGGGCAGCTCCCATGCCCTTGAGTCCCACAGCTGGAGGCTGTGTGTCCAGAAACCAGGATCAAGGCTAAGGTCTCTGCCAATGGCAAGGTTGGCGTGCAAGACGGGGGCCGGGCTAGGCCAACCCTGACATCTGCCATCTCCTCTTTCAGGGCCTCCAGGTCCCAGCCTGGGATGGACGTCTCCAGGGCTTCATGGGCCAGGCCAGATCTGCCACACACCAGCTGTGTGCCCTTGGGCCAGGGACTCCCCATACATTGTGCAAGTCATTGAGCAAGGGCACCGGGCAGAGGGGGCGGGGTGGGGACTGCAGTGCAGGTGGCCCATATCTCGTGCCCATTCAGAGGGAGGAATACCTTCTCTAAAGAGCACCAAGCTGCTGTGTGCTCTTGTAGAGCCTGGGCTCTCCCACACTAAACTTCTGTGTTCTCACTTGTGAAATGGGCAGGGTACTAGAGTCTGCTTCCCAGGGATGTTTCAAGGATGAAATGAAGCCATAAAGACCCTGCAGTGGCACGGCAGCCCGTGGTGGGCACTATGTGATAACCAGAGACAGGAAGGGCCTCTCCCACACACACACCGGCAGAGCAGACTAAAGAGATGCCCAGGCCTGGATGTTCTGGAACACTGCTCTTCTGGGGTCCTGGGAATGAGGGTGGGGAAGCATGAGGACATTGCAAGCCCAACCCAGGCCGTGCCCTTCCTCTGACAGCTTGGTTGAGGCTGAGCCCCACCCCCCCAGCAGTTTCCCTGGCTGGTAACTGCCCTCATAGTCTGCCCAGCCCTGTGACATGGCCCTGGGGCCACAGAGCAGTGTCACCAGAGCAGTGTGGGGTGACATGAAGGAGGAGAGGGAGCACCCATCATTCCAGAATTCAGATCTAGATCAGCTGTGCTCTGCTGTGTGATCTGGGGCAGGCCACCCTACCTCTCTGAATCTTGTCTCTATCTGGAAGTCACCTGGGATTGAAAAGTGCCCACCTTGTACTTTATTATGAGCATCTGAGACTCATGCCTCGAACACAGTGGATATTCATAAATTTATATCTTCCTCTCCCCCTTGGCCCCTGTGCTGGGGATTCTGCGATGGCTCTCTGGGACTGTCCTGCCTCCCACCTCTGAGATTAGTTTCTCAGTCAGCTGCTCAGCAAACAGGCCTCAAGTCTGCAGGTTCTTCATTCACTCGTAGCTCTTAGCCCTGGCTTTCTCATCTTCAGAATGGCAATGTTCACTCTGGGATGATGAGTGAGGATGTTCCCTGATGTTCATGACAACCTATGAGGAAAAGACTGGAATAGGCCCCGTTTTACAGATGGGGTAACTGAGGCTCAGAAGGGTATTCACCAGGACCTGGAGTCACTCAGCACGGGACCTGTCTGATCAAGCCTCTACTAATGCCTCTTGGCCTTGGGAGGTGGGACTAGATGGAGGAAGGGAGCCTGGCTGAGTCTCACCTGGCTGCCCACTCCCACTGGAAAACGTTGAGGAAGGGCCAAGGCCGGATGCACTGTGTCTGCTGGTCCTGAGCCCCTGGTGGGCTCTGCTGAGGGCAGGGCTGCTGTGGCCTCCGTGTTATTCTGCCTCTGGGAGGAGGGAGTCCTTGCAGACAGATTTTTCACCCATCAGCCCCATTGTTCAGGCGATGTAAGTGAGGCTCAGAGAGGGTGTAGATCTCATCCAGGGTCACACAGCAAATAAGCTTTATAGCTGGGATTCTCAGAGCTAGGGCTCTGACCTGGGGTCTGCAGCTTCCCCCTGGCTCAGACGCTCCCGTAATAATAATGATGAGGGGAAGGAAAGCGTCCGCTGTCTTCCATGCTGGGTACCATGACTCACACCCACCGGTGTCATGCTACCTATCATGCCATGATGCAGAAGGTCCAGGTATGGAAATTGAGGCTGGGAGAGGGAAATGCCTTGCTCAAGGTCACATCCCGATTCAAAGTCCATCAGTATGACCTGGGGCTAGGATTTTTCCTCTGCAGCAGCATCAGCTGAGGATTTCCAGTAGGGGAGTATTCAGACGGCTGGGGCACCATGAGACTGGTGGAAGCCAATCGCAGCCCAGTTGCTTGCTCCCTGATAGAAAAATCGAGAAGCTGCCTCACCCTCCTCTCCCATGGGATCCCCTGCAGCTAGGTGACCTGTTTGCCCCTCACTGTTCCACTGTCCTTAGCACACATGTCCCTTCCCCATCTGTGGACTCCCACAGCCCTTCTATGATGGGGTACCAGAGAGGGAAGAAGTTTGCCCTAGGTCACACAGCAAAAAAGCTTAAGAACAGACCAGAGGTTCTGGCCCAGGTGTTGCCTGGGCCCTGGGCTTCTCCACCATCCAGGGCCAGGCCCTTCCTGCACCTATCTTTCCAGCCCTAACTAGATGCCAGTTACAGTGCAAAGTTTGTGCTTTACTCTGAAGATTCAGGATCCTGTGGGCTCAGTGCTGCCCGAGTCTGCCACCCATCTACTCCACTCCTGTCTGGAAGGTCCAGCAGCCCCTGTCTTCTGACTCCCTGCCTGTCCGTCCTTCACCCCTAGCTGGGTGGCTCCCCTCTCCACCTTCCTGACCACCCCAGTGATGTGCTCCAGCCTTGCCCTCACTCCATCTTACCCCTGGCCTACACTGGCCTTCTCTCCCACCCCACAGCCTGGGCAGCAGCTGTCCCCTCTGCCTGTGACCTTCCTGGAGCTGCCACCTGGCTACGGTGGCCCCCGCCTTGCCATCACTACTCGTGTCTCTCCAGTGCCTGACGTACAGTGGGTACATGGGAAATGAATGGGAACCTCCTTTTACCCTGAAGAGAGGGCCAGGCTAGACACAGACTGAGGCTTCCCAGAAGCCAGCTGGAGGGTTCTTGGAGCTCCTGGCCCCATCCCTGACCCCATCTTTGGTTCAGGCCAACAGCAGCAAATATTTACATTTGCAAAGTAAATTCCCAGGACGACACCTGGACTGAGGCTGGGGAGACTGCATCTCTGTGGCTGTGGTCACTGGACCCAGCAGACCTGTGGGTGGCTCATGAATGAGGAAGCCCCTCTGCTGGCCCCTGTCCTGGAAGAGAAAGCCAGAGATGAAGCCCAGGGACACTCGCAACTTCTCACACCCACATTCCCAGTGTAGGGTGGCGTTTGAATCCCCACATCCCTACCTCTCTGTGTGGGCAGGCAGCCTCTCCTTTCTGGGCCTCATGTTCTCATGAAGACCCAATGAGAAGGGGCTTCTTAGCTTAGCCCTAGTGGTGGGCAGGGGGAAGGGGAGCTGCTTATGGGGGCACAGGGCTTTGAAACTGTACCTGATGCTGTCCTTGTGCAGATCAAGGCAGGGAGTGATGAGAGTGTCATGGGGGGAGCTTTGGTGGGTACCCTGGTCTGTCTGGGAAGGCTTCCTGGAGGAGGTGATATAGGACTGGCAGCTGTGGGGAAGGGGGTAGGGAGGCAGTGTGTGTGGTACTGGCAGAGACCTCCCAGGTGGTGGGAAGTAGCCCACAGTCAGGTTTCCCAGAGTGAAGCTGGGGTTTGTGGTCCTGGAACCCAGCCTGGAGCCCCTGAGAGGGCAAGGTTAGGGCTGAGGGGTGGAACTTCAGGACAGACCACCAGGCTGGGGTCTGGGGGACTTTCAGCCCGCTGGGGTCTGCTCCAGAGGTCCTGGCCCAACACCAGTGGGAAGGATATGATACTTTTGGATGACAGGGGACCTTGTCCCAACCCTGGGCTTTTTCCCTACTGGGATTTGCTGTGCGAAAGGGCCATTTTACAGCCTGATTTGCCCCTTAAAGTAGTTCTGTCCACTTACCAGAATTTGAAGTTTTAGGGATTGTTTTTGTGAATCCTGAAACCAAACCAATATTTTCTGGGTTTGTTTGGTTTTTTTTTTAGCAGTTTTGTTATTTCTTTAACTATCTTCCTTCTTTCCTTCCTTCCTTGCTTCCATCTTTCTTTCTTTTAAAATTTTCACTTGCCATCACTTTGAACCAGTTACATCTATGCTGATGGTCAGACCATGTTTTCATTAGTTTTTCTAGTTCTCTCTGGCGTCCAGTGAAATGTACGAAAGCAAATTGGTTGAAAAAGAATTTCCAACCACAAGTGCATAGATTAGTAACTCAGGGAAGCCTTCGTGTGACATTAGAACATTTATGCTCATTTTCAAGACCATTGTGTCTGCCGTCCACATTATTTTGCCTTTTGTTTTGTTTGTTTTACATTCATTTTGGGCCTGTGATTTATGCATTTGTTAACAGAAGGTCTGTTGAGGCCACTGAGGCCCTACTATGCAACAGGCACTTTTCCAGGCCATTCATGGGACAGACTAGGTCCCTGCCCTGGTGGGGCTCATGTTCCAGCCAGTGGGGTGGGTGACTGGCCGTGAACTGGGGAACTGACACAGTACATGTTAGAGGGTGGGAATGCCATGAAAAAAGGGGGAAACAGCAGGGTAAGTGAGGAGGCCGGGCCAGGCAGATGCTCTGCCAGACTTCATCCCAGAGAAAACCCAAACTTCCATGAGGTTGGAGAGACAGCAGCTTCCTTTGGTTGACTTCCTGAAAAGAGTAACAAAATGGCCTTTTACATCTTCACCTGGGAGCAAAGAGGACAAGGAAGGCTTGGCGAGCCCATTCTCCTCCAGAGCCAGCATTCCTACAGGTGCCAGGCCTCCCTGCCTCCACCCAGTGGGCTGACTCGAGGTGCCAGGTGGCCCAGAGGTCGAGCCCTGGAGTTAGGCTAACCTGAGTTCAAGTCCAGGCTCCAGCCGTCTTGGTTTCCCCCCAGAGAGATACTCATATTCACTCGTCCATTCATCTGAGTACAGGGGACAGAGGAGCTCTGTGCCTCAGTTTCCCATCTGTAAAGTGGAGGTGGTACTAGCTACCCATTTATAGGGTTCTGTGAGGATAATGAGTTAAAAATGTGTATGTGAAGTGCTTACTGGAATGTGCCAGGCCCAGAGTAAGTGCTAGCTGTTAAGTGTTAGCTGTTACAACCTACCATGTGAGATTGAGCTGGGGTGTGTAGAACACTTAGCATTGGCCTTGGCTCACATGGCATTCCCCCCACCTTGCCCCGATCCCTGCCCCCGGTCCTGGGCTGCCAGCCCACCTTCCTCTGTCCTGGGCCAGATTTATTCCCTGCGATGGGGCAAGTCCCAGGTCCCCAGGGAGGGTGAGCGGGAGATGCAAGGCCAGTCTGAGCAGAGGCCCCATAGTGGAGCAGGGTCTGGCCGCCTCCCTGCTGGGGGCTGGCCAGAGACACCCGTCTGGTTTGAGTTCCCGGCGCCGCACTCCCTGCACCAACCCGCAGCCTGGCTCAGAGCTGCCAGGTCTGTGCCTTATTTGGGTCTTTTCTCCCCGCCCCCCCCCCAACCAGATGGCACTCTGTGGCCTTAAAAGGCAGGCCTGGGGGGCGGTGGGGGGGGTGGGCAGAGAAGGGCAGTTACTACTGCTGGCTCCAGAGCCCCTCCAGCTGTACCCCTGCCCCTGGCTCGGCCAGCCCATCCCTCTGGCTGTGGGGAAAACCAGGCCCCCAGAGCCAGACCAGCCAGGGTGGCCGCTCTTCATAGGGGTGGTGGCAGAGTAGAGCACAGCCCCCCTTGCCCTTCCCAGGCAGCCAGCCTCCCTCTGGTTTTCATTTAAAACCAGGGCGGGTTCCACTTCAGTGTCTTCTTACCAATTGGGGCAGGGAGAAGGGGGACAGCCATGTCCCAGCTGCCTGCTGTGTGCCTGTGTGTGCGCAGGGGGCCCTTTGTATACATTGCCTTCCTCGGGATCACACTAGCCTGGGGGGTGTAGTAGCCTTATGACTCCACTTTACAGATGGGAATATAGGCGGGTCCAGAGAGGACAAGTCATACAGGTCAGCAAGTAGCAGGGCTGGGACCCAACCTTGCATCTGTTACCTCTAAGCTCTTAACCCATGCAGCTTGCTGGGGTCATTGGCCCCTACCTGCTGCCAGCCCGCTCCCCAGTCCCATCAAGTTGGCAGTCTTGTTCCAGTTCATCCCAGCTCTTGCTGTGTGACCCAGGAAAACTGTCCCACCTCTCTGGGCCTCTGTCTCCCTCTTCACCAGGAGGGGTAGGGATCCTGGCCGGGGCCACAGTGGCACATGGGGAATAGTGCAGGCCAGCGGGGCTCTCATCAGTATCATCCCTCAGTTTCAGGTTCCGCTGGCTTCTTGGAGCCTGGCTGGTCAGGCAACACCATGCGACGGATGGCACTTAGGCCCACAGCCTTCGCAGGTGGGTCCTGGGGCAGCCGCTTGGGGTCCCCCTGGTTTAGGAGAGGCCGTGCGGAGGCACAGGCAATGTGGTGATGATCCTAAAGCCAGCTGAGTCCAGCAATGGAGGGTCAGGGAGAGCACCCACCCTTGCCCACCCCAGCCTGGAAAGAAAAGTGAGGGGTGGAGAGAAAGGGCCTAGAAGGAGTCTGACCTGGGCCCAGCACCCCAAGACCCATGACCCCCAAACTCTTTTGTGTGTGTGTGTGATCCCCAGACTCTTGTAGACGTGGGCCCAAGCCGCCAGTCCTCTTTTTATTTAAACTATGCTTTTCTCCGCATCTGCAATGAGTGAGGCACTGCGCCAGGTGCTTTCCATTGTCAACCCATTTCAATCTCACAGCCCCAGGAAGGCATCATTGTCCCCATTCTAAAGAGGAGGAAGCTGAGGGTCAGAGAGGAGACGCGCCCTTCCCAAGGCCCCATAACCAGGAAGGGGCAGCTCTGGGACTCGACCCCAGACTTTGTGCTTGTCAAGAACTCACTGCACCCTTGCTCTGAACTCAGTGCCCTCAGATGTGAACTGGGGTGACATTCGTCGTAACACATGGGATCCTGGCGTGGACTGGAGAGATGAGCCCTTAAAGCACTAGTCCCTGTGCACCGCAGCTGGCAGGTTCTGGAATGGGCCAGAGCTGCTACCGATAACTTAGGGGTATCCCTGGGGAGGCCCAAGGAGCTGGACGGTGGTTGCAGAGGCAGAATCAGAGGGTAGCGCCTCTGAGCCAGCTCAGTCCAGGTTGTGATGTGTCAGTCCCCAAAGCTGGCAAGCCCAGGCCAGCCCTGCCCAAGGGGAAGCAACAGGATTTCCTGCCCTGGCTTCCAGGGAAGGAGTCATCTTGGATGTAAAGGTTGCAGGAGGTGGGTCCCTGATTCTGCTCTGGAGGATCTGGAGCCAAAGGAAACCCTCAGGACATGGCCTACCTTGAACAGGCTGTAGCCCCTTCTCCTGCATCGGGCTATCTCATGGTTTGGGGTCATCAGGTGTCCCATTGCCTCCATCCTGCCCCCAGGCGTTGAGGGGCTCCATGGGGAACCTGTGGCGCCTGGCCCCAGCCCCGGCCTCGTCCCTCCCTGCAGGTTGCCTCAACTGCAGCAAAGTATCAGAGCTGACCGAGCGGCTGAAGGTGCTGGAAGCCAAGGTGGGTGAGCAGCTGCCCCTCCCCTGGCCTCCCCACCCCCTCCCTGCACCCCTACACCCCATCCACTCATGATTCCCATTGCATCTCTGAGCTGAGCTTCAACACCCAAGAGCATGTGACCTCCCTACCAGGCACCCACCATCCTCCAGAACAAGCTGGCTTCCCCTCTGTGCCCTTCCCCAGGAAGCCTGCTCAGAGTCAGATCGCCTGGCCTGCTCTTCCTCCGGGAGGCCTACGAAGCTCCCTGTGCACCCCCATCTCCATGCCAGCCAGATATTTGTAGACCCCACCCCCCCAGAGCCCGTGGCTGAGTCTCTTATTTGCCCTGTCGCCTTTGCCTTTTATTCCCCTCCACCACCATAATACTATCTTCCCAGTTTCCAAAGCAAAACATCTGCACATCCCAAATTATCTCAAGATACAAAGGTTTCAGCAATTAAAAAGCAAGACATTCTAAGTTTAGAAACATGAATAGCTCAGAACTGTGAAAAACCTACCAGAAAACCATCTGCAGCAGTCACCTATGCCCCGAGAGAGAGCAACGGTCAATATTTAAGCATCTTTTCTTCCAGATTTTCTTTTCTTTTTTTTAAGTTTACTTATTTATTTTGAGAGAGAAAGAGA